ACCTCCCGTCCTACTCCCCAGGTACGGCGAGGCGTTCCCCGTGTCCCCCCAGGCGCAGGACCCCAACTTCACGGTGCCCATCGGCAAGGCCAAGGTGGAGCGCGAGGGCAAGGACGTGACTCTCGTCGCCTTCTCGCGCATGGTTGGCGTCGCGCTCAAGGTGAGTGGAAAGAAGGGGGAGAGGAAAGGGAGGTAGGGTCACAGGGAAAGAAAGGGGGGTTTGCGCTCATGGTGGGGGGTGGAGAGTCGGGAGGGCCAAGGTGGAGCGCGAGGGCAAGGACGTCACCCTCGTCGCCTTCTCGCGCATGGTTGGCGTCGCGCTCAAGGTGAGGGGAGGGGAGGGAGAGGGGAAGGAGGAGAGGGAAGGGATGGCTGAGCTCAAGGTGAGGGGTGGGGGGTTCTGTGTGCACTCATAATCAAGAGAAGGGGAGGGGGAGGTAAGGGGGGATATGGTCCATGTGCGTCTCGATCCCAGCTTGCAGCCGGAGGAGTGCTTTGCACACACGTTCAGCAACACCCGTTATGAAAAGTTTCCTTCCACGCGCCATGGCTATCATGCTGCCATTGCTCAACACTTGCTTCTAACAATCCCACGCTCTGCACCGTCCTCCCTCCCACCCCCCATTGCGCTCCCCTGTTGCTGGCAGGCGGCAGACGAGTTGGCCAAGGAGGGCATCTCCGCTGAGGTCAGTCGCGCTTCTCTCTGCCACCCCACCCCATTCCGCTCCATGCTGCGCCATTCTGCCCCATGCCATCCCATGCCGCCCCATGTCGCTCCATGCTGCTTCATGTCACTCCATGCCGCCCCATGTCGCCCCATGCTGGCCATACCACCCCGCATGCAGTGCCATGCCTGCTCGTCACACTCTCTGCTTCACCTCCCTTCTCTCCACCGCTGCACTTTCAACACTGCTGCCACTCAGCCCCTCTGACTTGCCTCTAAACAACAGCCCGCCCATCCAACCCCTTGGCCCCTCCGCCCTGCCCGTTCCCCATTCCCCTGCGCCCCGCCCCTCCCAGGTGTTGAACCTGCGCACGATCCGGCCGTTGGATCGCGAGGCCATCAACGCATCGGTGCGCAAGACATCGCGCCTCGTGACCATCGAGGAGGGGTGGCCGCAGTCGGGTGTCGGTGCCGAGATCTGGTGAGGCGCGCTGGGGGTGCGGGGCTTAGGGATAAAGAAGCACGCTGGTGGCCGCTTTAGAATCAGCTGCTTCCAGGAGCCTGCATCCCTTGCCCCTTCCTCATCCCCATCAACTCCTCCCTCTGCTGCTCACTCTGCTCGTGCACCCCCCCTGCTTCCCTTGCCCACTGCTGTGCGTGCAGCGCCACAGTGGTGGAGTCATCATTTGACTACCTGGATGCACCCGTGGAGCGCATCTGCGGCTCAGACGTTCCCATGCCCTATGCTGCCAACCTCGAACGCCTCGCCCTGCCCCAGGTGCGCCGTCTACCCCTTCTCCCTCACCCTGCTCTCTTATGGTTAAGTCATATTCAACATGCGTTCCCTGGTATGGTACGTCAGGTTTTCAATTGTCATGTTTGGAAGCCAGGCTGTCATTTTTCTCTAGCGGATTTTGATGTGCCGGACTCCTTTTACTCACCAGGGCACGGCTTTTGCCTAGTGGTGCATGTAGTGGACAACAGACATGGTGCGGCTCTCTCATCTGAATGTGCCATGCCATGCCATGTGCATGTGTGTGCCCACCGCCCATGCATGGCAGGTGGAGGACATTGTGCGGGCCAGCAAGCGCGCGTGCTTCCGCTCCGCTGCCCCTGTTGCTGCCACCGCATAGAGAGCAGCCATACGCTGTAGATTACTAGAGGGGATTTCGCACACGCACATTGGTCTGTAATTCGCTTGTCTCCCAACGCTCGTGAAGTGCAATTGAACCCAGATTTTTCTAGGTAGGTGGGTGGGTGGGTGGGTTGTATACCTCAGTGTGATGCGCAAGTGGTGAGTGGTGAACATACATGGCACTAGCCATGAGCAGAAACGTGTACCCTAATGGATACTGGTGGTGTCACATGCATGACCGATCCCCTAAGTTCCGCGCCTGCAGGACCTCCTTTGGCACGTTCAGTGGTCAATGCATGAGCAAAGCCTATGCATGTTAAGTCCAGAAGAAATACATGAAGTAAAACTTAGGAAAAAATGCTGAGTCTCTGCTCATGTTCAAGTTTATGATATGCTCTCCTTGTAAAAGTTTATGATCTGCTCTCTTTGTAGAGAGGCTGCTTATGCTAGCAGTTCTTTGGAACTGACCAGGATGATGGAGAATATTGCAGCCAATGGCGTGAGTAAGTTTCCAACTTCTCCAAGGATCGCCTGGCTGCAGGCTGCTCGACTGGCCACATTTGGGCAGCTTGAAGCCGTCAGCAAGGTCATTTTTAGCGAAAGTCGTCCGTGATTGGTTATCGCGTTACATCTCTTCCAACCTGACGGAGGGGCCGTAATGTCGAACAGTCAACGAGACACTTTCAGCTTGGTCATGATTGGACGATATTCTTGCTTGCACTTTTTCGAACTGAAAGGCCAAGCGTAGTGGCAGTAGGCACCTAGTTCCAGTCGAGCAGAAGCGGTGGGCGGACGAGAATGGCGGCGGCTGGCGGATGGCGCTGGGGCCAACTCCAGCGCATATTGGTGGCGCGAGAGGGAAGGGCATGGCCGAAGCCGCTGCTTTCGCGGAGTGTATTGGTGGAACGCTTGGTTCTGGCTGATTTGCGAGAATGCTTGGCCATGCTGCAGCGAAACTGACAAGGTCATGGCGGTTGGAGGGGTTTTAGCGGACAGGAGGAATGGTAACAGCGGTGCTAGGGTTGATGCAGACTGCCGTTCCTACCCTACCCCCGATCATAATACTGTACCAAATCCACGTGCGCCGCGACTCGGGGCGATCCTCTCTGTCGGCATGGATCAAACAGCGAACGAAGGCTTCTGAGAGGATGTATATTAAATTGCAAATTTCTGCCAACGAAGTCGTCAGAAAACTCCCTATCGGAAATTCCCTTTTTCTCAGTAAAACAGCATCTTCTAACTAAATTGCCTACCCTCAGCAGTAGGAACCACGATGGCGACTCCTGCCCGTGTTCTAACCCTAACAATCCTTCTCACCCTAGCGTTAGCGTGCTGCACGGCGGTAAATGCGGTCAGCGACCCGAGCAGCGTGCAGTTCTCATCTCTGACTCAAGCCATCGTGGTAACCACAACGGTCAACGGCCACAACGTCACCAACGGCACGTGAGTAACTCCGCCACTGCGACCCAGCCATTCAACCACATCCCGTCATCGTCTCCCAATTTTAAGTACCCCCAGGATCCCATATCGCAAGCAATCCTCTCACGCGTTCCCTCCTGCTGCGTCTTCTCCCTGTTTTATTTTCGCCCTACCCGGCGCTGCTCCCCCCGCCTCTCGCAGCGGAATGACCTATGCCCAGGACGAGATGTCGATTCACTGGCACCTCAACCAGTCGCTGTGGGGGGCCGACGCGGCGTTCAAGAAGGTCGTCTTGCAGCTCTGCTTCGGCGCGCCCAGCCAGGCGTCGCGTCCCTGGCGCCAACCCAACAACGTGCTCTCGCACTCCAAGAGCTGCAAATACACCATTGCCTGTAAGCCCAGAAAATGTGCAGCGTTGATCTACTGAGCACATCACGTCACCGCATGTTGCAAGAATCTGCGTTTTTCTCATCGTTTTGCTTCTTCCTTCCCCAAGAACATTACCATTTTCCATGTTCCAGTACACCACCCCGTGTGGAAGATTTTGTGTTCTGTTTTAACGTTTCCTTATTCCCCCCCCCCCCTCCCACACCTTGTCCCATGCAGCGCAACCGTACAATGCGTTCGGCAACAACACGGTGTGGCGGCCGTCGCAGGACACGCCAGGCGCGCAGTACTTCGTGCGCGCATGGGTGCTCAACTCCACCGACGCCTCCGCCACCGTCTCCGCCAACAGCGTCGCCTACGGCCAGGTCAGATGCGGTTTCGGATAGCATTCCTGCATTCTTTATGCGTGCCTTTGTTATTCAAATCTCAGTCGCAAAACCAAGCTCAGCTGCTCTGTCTTTTTTCTAAAAACTCCTTTGACCTCAGACTGAAGCTGGCCGCTTCCCTCTCCACTAATTTTGGCAGTTGTTTTTTCCCTTGCGAGATCTCATCTCATCCTGTTCCTTATCCCATCTGCTCTTTCTGTTGTGACTGCAGAACACTGACTCTTCAATGAACACCAATCTGGTGGTGGTGACGCCCTATGCTGGCACAACCATGGGGATCAATATATACATAGTGTGCATCTCGGTAGTGTCCTATGTTGCCCTAGCCTGTTTCTTCTTCTATGAGAGATATGCAAAGAAGAATAAGTAGTATGCTAACAGCACCTTTTCCCCTAGTCTATGCAGTTCTGTATCTATATCTGAGTTTTGGCAGTAACCATACAGTGCCGTGCTGGTTATATTGGTATGGTAGTCACTGGTAGTATAGCTTGGTGGTTCTTGGCCGATGGGATACAGGCAATGATGCCACATTATTTATGCAATGATGCTTGCCTGTACCTTTATGATGTTCGAATAAGCACAAGAGAAGCTACTCAAATAATTTGGATTGCAATCCATTTTCTCCAAACACTTCCACTAGCCCTTGCAACCTGTACAGTGCATGCGCAAACTGCATATAGCGTACCCCATTCCTCGAGGAATTCCTTAGCGTTCCCAAAAAATACTCCAGTAGGTCCAGACGGCACTGCACTGCATATAGGAAGCTCTTTGCGCAGGGGACGCAGGTTCACTCTGAAGCTAGTGGTACTGGTCTGTTGTGGTTTCGTCATCCTCCTTCCCATCCTCTCTTCGGTTCGCGTCATCGCCTCCTCCGCTTATGTCCCAGGTTCTTCAATAATCGATCTAGGTCAATCGCTGAAATCGGTCGATACGTGTTTCCTTTTCGACTTCAATTTTTATAGTGATCAAATCATCGTACTTTCAAACTATCTATTTCTTCCGACGTCCCATGGCTGACACCGAAACCCTACCGGTTGGTAAACGGAAAGCGGACCAGCCAGGCGGCGTGTCAGCCGAGAATGGCGCTGCTGACGGCGACGATGCAGATCGCGCGGGGAAGCGGAGGCGGTGGGACAGCGGTGCAGATGGGGTGCAGAGCGGTGCCGATGGCGGACAGAAACCCGCGGAGGGTGGCGGAACGGGGGGTTCCGCTCCCGCCGCTGGCGGAAAGAAGGTAGGGTAGGATTGGCGGTATCGTCCCTAGATATCGATCAACTCGTTGATTGATAGACAGCTTGTGGTAGGATCATTTCCTCTTTATCATGACTGGTTCACAAGGATTCCATTGTATTTATTAGCCGATTCCCGCTTATTTTCGCCAAGGCCGTGCTGACGCCAGGGGATCCAATGCTCGTTTCCGTTTGCTCGTTTCCATGCTCTCGTAGAGGCGATCGCGGTTCACCACCGCACAACCTGCCTTCAGCCATCCATCCATCTGTTCGTCCGTCTGTCCATCCTTCCCTCACTCAGGTCCCGAGCGTCTCGCTGGATGCTCTGGCCAAGGCGAAGAAGGCCCTGCAGATGCACAAGGAGCTCAAAGAAAAGCTCAAGAAGCTTCCTCAGGTGGGTTCCCAGGTGCTTCCTCAGGTGCGTCCTTAGGTGGGTGACCCAGAGTTCCAGCATTCATAGGATGGCTCTTTCGTGGTTCAGTATATGATGTTTAGGACATATTCAGAGCTTTATCGTCACCGTTGGGCCTTTATCTTTTCTTCATTCATTCCCTTCAAACCCTAGTCAACCAGTCGGTGCCTGTGCGAATTAGGCTTGGCAACGACATGTTTCACCAGGCATGTCCCCAGAACCCATTCTTTCCCCCACTCCACTTACTTTGCATTGCAGCTGAGCAAAGCAGCGCCACCCGCAGCCGCGGTAGTCCCCACTGCAACAGCAGCCGCCGCTGCAGCCGCAGCAGCAGCAGCAGCCGCAGCAGCAGCAGCAAAAGGGCTACCAGCGCCTGTGCCCGTGGTGGTGCCGGTGGCTGTCCCTGGCGTTGGAATCGTGCCCGTAGTCCCGGGCGTTGCTGCTCCTCCTGGTGCCACCATTCCAGGAACCATTCTTACTCCAGATTTAGCTGCGGCAGCGGCGGCGGCGGGGGGCAGCAGCAAGGTGACGCGGGCGCCAGTGCTGCGGTTGGATGCGATGGGGAGGGAGATAGACGAGCATGGCAATGTGGTGGAGCGGCCCAAGATCGCCCCCGTCAGCACTCTCAAGGTGTGTGGGTGGTTCGGCATTCTCAAGGTGGCTGTGCTGCACTCTCACAGTTCTGTGTGATGCACCCACAACGTGGATGCCATCTTGTGCTCAGAGCTGGGGGAAGACCCCTATGACAGTCCCTTCTTGGACCTGCACATGCTCCCTCACCCACTTCCGCTATCTCACTCACTCGCTCGCCCTTTCCCGCTCTCCCGTCCCTCCCCCCCCCCTCACAGGTGAACATCAACAAGGCGAAGAAGGAGGCGTTCAAGATCCTGCGCCCGGAGCTGGAGGAGGACCCTCAGGACAGCCCCTTCTTTGACCCGCGCATGGCCAGCGAGCGCCTGAAGCTGGTGCGGCCGCGCAAGGCGTCCTTCCAGTTCGTGGAGGAGGGCACCTTCGCCAGGCAGGCCGAGACCATGCGCATGCGGGTGAGCGATAGCAGCGGCATGAGGGTCACACCACGCACAATATTCTAGGTGTTTTTCTCCTCTTCGGCCTTTTTCTCCTTCTTGGGCACACTTCTTGGCTGTGCATGAAGATGCCCTTTAAGCATGACCTGTGCCATCCATCCCTTTGCCATCATGAACCCCATCCCTACCCTCGTGCCTCGTGCACGTGCTGGTGCGTGCCACTCTCTGTCCACCCCCCCTCATCACTGCAGGTGCAGTTTGGCATGGCGAGGCAGATGGAGATGGCGGCGCGGCAGAGGGCCAAGGAGAGGGAGGCGGCGGAGGGGGGGGAGAACCCCAACCTCGTGGAGGTGGGGCAGCGCCCCGTGGCCCCCTCGGAGAAGCCCAAGCCGCCCATTCCCGACGTCGAGTGGTGGTGAGTTCCCTGCCTTGCTGCCTCCTGCTTCCGTGTGCTCCCTCGTGCCTCATTCATTCCCCATGGCTGCTTGCCTCTCAAAGTTCACTGGCCTGCAGCTCTACCTGGCTCTTAACCCCACTGCTGCCCTTTCCCTCATCGCACTATCCTCCCCTCCCCTCCCCCCACAGGGACGCGCTCATCCTGGCATCCAACCAGTACCTCGAGAAGGGTTCTGCCGTGCCAGCAGCCCTCAAGGCATCCAAGATCACCATGTATGTCGAACACCCCGTGCCCATCGAGCCGCCTGATGCAGCCTTCCCTCCTCTCCTCTCCCCCCTTGCCCCCACAGGGACGCGCTCATTCTGGCCTCTAATCAGTACCCTGAGGAGAGCTCTGCCGTGCCAGCAGCTCTCAAGGCGTCCAAGATCACCATGTACGTCGAACACCCCGTGCCCATCGAGCCGCCTGCCGAAGCCCCACCGCCGCCGCCGCAGCCGCTGCGGCTGACCAAGGGCGAGCAGAAGAAGCTGCGGACGCAGCGGCGCGTGGCGCGGGAGAAGGAGCGGCAGGAGATGGTGCGGCAGGGCCTGCTGGAGCCTCCCAAGCCCAAGGTCAAGATGAGCAACCTCATGCGGGTCATGGCTGCTGAAGCCACACAGGACCCCACGAAGATGGAGAAGGAGGTGCGTGCTGCGGCGGCAGAGAGAGAGCAGGCTCATGTGGACCGGAATCTTGCGAGGAAACTGACCCCGGCGGAGCGGAGGGAGAAGAAGGAGAGGAAGCTGTTTGAGGAGACGCTAGGGGGAGGGGTGGGCGGTGGGGGTGAGACGCACGTGGCGGTGTTTAAAGTGCGGCATCTGCTGCACCCGCAGACGCGGTTCAAGGTGGATGTGAACGCGCAGGAGAATCGGCTCACTGGGTGTGCGTTACTGGCGGATTCGTTTGTGTTGGTGGTGGTGGAAGGCGTGAGCAAGTCGGTTAAGAGGTACTTGAAGCTGATGATGAGGAGGATTCACTGGGCCGATGCTGTGGCTCCTGGTGCGGCTGGGGAGGAGGATGAGGGAATGGGTGAAGGTGGGTTGAAAAAGGAGAACAAGTGTGAGTTGGTGTGGCAGGGTACGGTGGCCCGAGCCGCGTTTGAGAAATTTACAGTGGAGCAGTGTCGCTCAAGTGCGGCTGCCAGGAAGTTTCTGGAGGATCGCAAGGTTGCACATTTTTGGGACTTGGCGGAGAACCTCTGTGAGGATTGATGATGCCAAGCATTAGGAAGTGCCGTTTTGACTTCACGTGGAGAATACGTGCTTGCTTATTTGATCAGCGGCATTAGTTTGGGCATGCAATGTGAGCATTCTTTGATGGATCACACCCAATGATCATCCAGAGTTCCTGGCATTGTTCCCCAGATTGTACGGATCTGTTTGAATTAGTCGTGTTTTTTCTGCGTGTACTGCGTGTTGCATCTGGTCTGGTCTATTCACATTAGCGCATCGTAGCCCTAGAACTTGTCGCCCTCGGTCGTGTCCTGCAGATGCGTGATTCCATCCCAACCCAATCCAACATATGTTTCTGCCTGTTCTACATTCTCTTTCACTAAACCTGGCTGGTTCCTCGATTTCTCCGTTTCTTTTTCCTTCACAAGCTTGCTAGGGTTTGGTGTTGATCAGCCGCCATGGGGAGGGGTGACGACGCCGAGAGGTACGAGGACGAAGGGCCATACGAAGACGAAGACGAGGAGTACGAAGGCGGCCCTCGCGACGCTAAGGATGAGCCCGACGAACGCGACGACCGTCGCGAAGTTCGCCACGACGATCGCCGCGACAGGCGCGGTAGCCGCGAGGGACGCGAACCCCGTGGCTCCCGGGAGCTCCGTGGTCGGCGCGACGAGGATGAGGAAGAGGAGGGTGACGACGAGGAATATCGCGACAATGAGGTCCGTTGGTCGATGACCATCTCAAGTCGATCTCCGTGCGTGCACTCAGGGACATCCTTCCTTTTAATGCGTTAGTATCCGCTTCCACTTGTTGTTTTTCAAGTCCCTGTCGTGCTTTCTCAGATCTACTCCTTTATGTGCTAATCTGGTCTGAAGAATGACCACAATAGGTACCTTTTGGGTCCCGAAGGACCAGAAGGGTGTCCTTCGAGATAATACGTTGACAAGTTTTTGCCCTCCTATATTTTTATCGCTTTTGTTTCAGTGGATTGTGGATCATATAAATGCATATAATTCTGTCAATGCATTGTCTCTATTTATCAGCGGCTTTAGATGCTGCTTAGCGGTTCTGGTAACATAATGTTATACATCGCACTGTCGCATCCCGTCGCTTTCATTCGCAGCCGTCGTACGACGACAGGGGGCCAGAGCGCGCCAGACGCCCGCGAGGAGATCGCGACAGAGCCAGAGGGGGGCCCAAGGACGAGGGGGAGGGGAGCGAGGAGGACGAGGAGGACGACGAGGAAGGCGGGGAGAGGGGCGTCGAGCGTGACAGGCCAAGGGACCGCGACCGCGTGAGCCGCGAGAGGCGGCATTCGGATCGCGGCAGAGGAAGCGGGGACAGGGACAGAGATCGCGACGACCGCGAGTATCGCGACAGGGACCGAGGCCATCGCAGGGACAGAGACCGAGACTATCGCCACCGGGACCGCGACCGCGACCGCGACAGGTGTTTGATTTTGTTCCTTTCAGGCGCGAGTTTCGTTTTCTGCGCTGCGCGCGTCGACCGTGCTTTTTTTGCGCCTTCTATGATGTATATTTGTGCTGCCATATGCAACTTGCTTCTTAGTCGTCTCTGTCGTTTTCTTAATCCATATTGTTGATTTGTTTCCTGTGGATCTGATTCTGAATCGGCTATGGCAGGCGCAGCAGGCGTCGCGATCGCTCTCGATCACGTTCCCGTTCGTACTCGAGATCGCGCTCTCGCTCCCGCTCCCGAGACAGGGATAGACGCAGGTACTGCTTTGCGCTACGCGCTCGGTTCAGGCTCCGTGCAATCCATACCTGCGTTTTTATTGCATCGTTCGATGAGTATGCATCATGCGCCTCTCGTGTATCCTCGCCCCGTAAAGGCACATGTCCTCATCGTGCATCATGCCTCCGTGTGCGCATGTTCATTCGTGCAGGCGCGCCAGCGGGTTCGACATGGGCCCTGGTCCTTCTCTTGCATCCGTGCCCGGGCTAGCAGGTACGCCCGCCCTCCCCCCAACCACCGACTCATCGTTCACCTCTGCTGCCACTTTACCTCCTGCTCTGGCAGTTGTCAGTTTCTCTCAGTGATTCACGCGGACTCACTTCCGTGGCTCGGTTGTCGTTGTCTGCTGTGGTGGTTGTTGCCGTGTGTGTCTCTTTTCTCCTTTCCTCTCTCCCCTGCTCTTGCTTCTTGGTTGCTCGTTCGGCTGTGTGTGTGTTTCTGGGCCGCTTTTTTAACCCCTCCACCTCCTAACCGCCTCACTTCGGTGATCATCCCAAGCCGGCCCGCGCCACCTCTCATTCTTCCCCCTCCTCTCTTCGCCGCTCCTTCTCGCTTCGCATTAGCACGATGATTCAAAGGGTAAATCCCCCATGCCTCTGCTTGACTTGGTGGCCTTGGAATTGGGAGGATTATTGCCTTCGAGTTAAGAGATGTTGAAGGGGAGTAACTGGTTCCGTACATTGCCCTTTCATGTGCCAAGCAAGTTGATAAATTTGTTTGCATTTTGTTAATTTCCTGGTTTGGAGCCTCGATATTTTGCTGCATTGTTGTACTGTTATTGGGGCATGCTGTAATGGATCCGTGAGCAGGCCTGCTTTCTGGAGCTGGGGGAGCAGCGCCGGCAGCAGCACCAGCGCCAGCGGCACCAGCGCCGGCTGCTGCGCCTTCTGTGGGAACGCTGCCTCTCACGGGCGTCGCTGGTAAGACAGCAGGGCAAGCAGGTCCAGTACAGGCGTGGTAGAGGTGTTTGGTGTGTGCGGGGAGTTCAATCTTCGTTCTGGTCCGTGCTTCCATTGCCGCTCCTCCCCTCCTGCCGTGCTCGTTCTGCTCTTGACCCAGTGCTGGACCGCCTTTTCCTTTCACGCACCATGCTAGAAGGCGCTGCACGAGGCACCACACCATGTTTGGAGGGCATTTGAAGGTCTTTGCATCTGCACCGGCAAACACAACTCCGTATCCCCCGTCTTCTCTTGCTCTGTGTTTCGTGCCCGTCGCCCCCCCAGGCGCCATGGCAGCGGGATTCGCGGGGCTGCCAGGCATGCAGGCAGTGCCCGGATCCATGTTCCCCAACATGTTCCCCTTCGCTGCCGCCGCTGCCCAGGTAACCATCACAACTGGTAACCACGTTCTTTTTTAGCTGCTCTCTGCTGCTTGTAACCTCAGTGGTGCTCAAGGGTAGGCATGCGATGCCATGCAGGCACAACCTGGCTGCGATGAGGTGAGCGGACTGCTGTACGCTAGGTGCAGGCGGCCACATGATGCTCTGTGACTTGATGCGGACAGAGCCACGAGTCTCTGACACCAGTTTCACTCCTGATGGCCCCGCCCAGTGCTGCAGCTCTTCGTTCTTTACGTCTTTTCTCGGGATGTTTGTTGGACTTTCGTCTTCCTTGTTACTGATACAGGATAGGATTGGTTGCTTCTGTCTTCACATGAGGTGTACCTTTTGTTGGGCGGCCGCATGATGCTTTATGACTTGATGCGGACAGAGCCACGAGTCTCTGACACTTGTTTCACTCCTGATGGCCCGCTAGCTTCGTAGTGATGTAGTCTGAACGTGCTGTTTGGCCCGTGGATGTGTATGGAGGATAGGCTGTCGTGCTGTAGCTGTTATGAGTCGCCCCCGTCGCGCCGCATGATGCTTTGTGACTTGATGCGGACAGAGCCCTTTATCTCTGACAACCGTTCACCCCCTGATGGCCCTCTAGGTTCTCAGTGATATAGCCTGCACGCGCCGGTCAAAGCGTGGGCGCTAGCTATGATGAGTCGTTTCCAGCAGGCCGCGTGATGCTTTGTGACTTGATGCGGACAGAGCCTCAAGTCTCTGACACTTGTTTCACTTCTGATGGCCTGCTACACTTCCTTTGTCGCGCTAGCTGCCCCTGGCACTTGTTCCATCTAGAGCTATTAGTTGCGGCTGTTTGGTTCAGTTCAACTCCAGAAAAGCCTCAGCCTCACTGAATATGGGCCGTTGCCGTTTATCAAGGAGATTGTGTCGTAATGGCGAATGAGCTAAGCATTTGTCGGTGTGGTGAGCTATTGATTGTCTCGTTGTGCATGGACGGAGTTCGCCCTTGTGCTGCAGTGCCACGTGATGCTTTGTGACTTGATGCGGACAGAGCCATGAGTCTCTGATGCCTTTTATCACCACTGATGGCCCTTTGCAGCACCTTGTGCTCCATGCATTCAGACCTCCACGCCTTCTCCTCTCTTCTTCCGGTTTCCTCCCTTGCCCTTCTCTTTCTGTCTCCTCCGGCCCTCCTCATCCATCATATGCTGGTCGGTAGCTCGAGTGTTCCAGCCAACGTTAAGCCTTTCTCTTGTGCCCTCTCTCTGCCTCCTCTGTCTGCCTCTGTCCCTATCAGGGAGGCATGCCAACGCAAGCCACTCGCCACGCCCGCCGGGTGTACGTGGGCGGCCTCCCGCCCATGGCAAACGAACAGGTACGGGCTAGTTTTTTGTCCTGGTGTTTCGTAGTCGGCAGTTTCTTTGCGTGTGTGTGTGTATCTCATCTCATCTCATCACCAACCTTCCCCCCTCCCCGTGCCTGTGTGTGTGCGTGCGCGCACGTGCCCTGTTGCAGAGCGTGGCGGCGTTCTTCAACAACGCCATGGCGCTCGTCAATGGCAACACCGCTGGACCAGGTACGCTGTGTGGGGAAGAAGGGGAGGTGGCAACGCGTTTGTGCACGTCTTTGCGGGCATGAAGGAGCGAGAAGCGGGGTTTTGGCACGTCTTTGCGGGCATGAAGGAGTGAGAAGCGGAGTTTGGGTTTGTGTCGAAGGTGAGCTTTTTAGCCTGCCATCTTGGTGGGCTTGAGCCGTTGGCAACTGCTAACTGTGCATTTTCGTGCTTGCAGACTTCATGCTGGAGGTCAATGAGGAAGGGGTGCACGACCTTCTCCGCAATTATGACAGCGTCCCCGCTGGCAGACCACTCGTTCCGGCAACAGCGTCCTCTAGCAAGGGGCTGGCATAATTGCGGAGAAGGTCGTGCACCCCCTCCTCATTGACCTCCAGCATTGAGATCTGCAAACACGAACATGCACAGTTAGCAGTTGCCAACAGCTCAAGCCCACCAAGATGACAGGCTAACAGGCTCACCTTCAACACAAACTCAAACTCCGCTTCTCGTTCCTTCATGCCCGCAAAGACGTGCCAAAACTCCGCTTCTCGCTCCTTCATGCCCGCAAAGACGTGCCCAAACGCACGCGCGACCAAACGCAAAAGGGGTGAAGAAGCTTGCGCAGGAGCTGTGGACTGGTCTCCTCGTCACCACCTCCCGCTCCTCGTGTTTTCCCGTTGCTGCTCTCAATCGTGGTATATGTGTGTGTGTCCGCCCCCCCTCTTCCCCCACACCACGTACCCTTCCCCCCGCCCATACTCACAGGCGACTGCGTGGTATACGTGTACATCAACCAAGAGAAGAAAGGTTCGAGATTGCGTGTCTTTCTTACCCCCCCTTCCTCCCCCCCCCCCCCCCACCACAATCCGCGCAGGCGACTGTGTGGTGTACGTGTACATCAACCAGGAGAAGAAGAGTGCGAGATTGCCTGTCTTTCTTACCCCCCCTTCCCCCCCCCCCCACCACAATCCGCCCAGGCGACTGTGTGGTGTACGTGTACATCAACCAGGAGAAGAAGTTTGCGTTTGTGGAGATGCGCACAGTGGAGGAGGCCAGCAACGCCATGGCCCTCGATGGCATCAACTTCGAGGTGCGTACTGTGTGCCGTGCCATCCACTGCTACCACCCCTGCATTGCCAGTGTCTTACTTCTGCATACAGCACCAACTTTCCTCACCCTACACCCTAAACATTTGACGTGTCTTTGACTGCGGTTGCGCTCCGCCCTCCTCCTCTTCTCTACAGGGAGTGTCAGTGAGGGTGCGGCGGCCCAGTGACTACAACCCGTCAATGGCCGCCACCCTCGGCCCCACGCAGCCCAGCCCCAACCTCAACCTCGCTGCCGTCGGCCTCACTGCCGGGTACACCTTCCATTATTCCAGTCTGAATGTCCTCGTCCTTGCCTTCTGTTTCTTTGTTTCTTCCCACCTCTCCTCCTGTCCACCACCCCCATCCCAACCCCCCTTTCCCTGGTTTGCCTGTCCTTTTTTCTCCCACCCTTCCTCCTTAGGCACCTAAAAGCGTAGGCTCTGAGGTTGTTTCACAACTTCCTGTTGCTCTGGATTCAGTGTGCATGGCACAACCATGATGCTCCCTTTTCGCCTTTTCTCGTTTGTTTCATATCTCCTACCCCACGTTTTTGGTCGCTCGTCCTTCACACCACCTTGCCTCTTTCCTGCCATTGCCATCTCTCTCCCTGCAGTGGCTCGGGTGGAGCGGATGGTCCAGATCGCATCTTCGTGGGTGGGCTGCCGTACTACCTCACAGAGGAGCAGATCCGCGAGCTGCTCTCTTCCTTTGGGTCGGTCTCGATCCCGTGTTCTTAGTCTGGGTTTCATTGTTCATGACAGCTGTCTAATTGCAACACAACCATTTACTTCAGTAAGGCCATCCGTTTCAACCAAGGCCTTTTTTCTTGATCGTATTTCATGCGCATATGTGAGTAGAGCATTCTCTCCCAACCTTGCTCTCTCCCCTTCTTCGCTTCGCAGGCCTCTACGGGCGTTTGATCTGGTGAAGGATAGGGACACGGGAAACAGCAAGGGGTACGGCTTCTGTGTGTACCAGGACCCCAGTGTCACGGACATCGCCTGCATGGCGCTGAACGGCATGAAGATGGGCGACAAGACTCTCACCGTGCGCCGCGCCACTGCCAGGTGCGTTCCCAGGTGCTCTCAGGTGCTCCTAGTACTCTCAGGTGCTCCCAGGTGCCACGTGACATGCTCTCGGGTATTGTCAGCTGGTGGTTTGCTGCGCTATTCACGTGCCATTCCAGATGGTTCAGGTGGCATGCAGCGTTATTGTGGGTGCACTGTTGGTTCCTTCGCATCGCACTAATGGCTGCTTACTGTGTTTGTGGTCCCTCTCCTTCTGTGTTGCCTGTGACATGTCTTGTGCCGCTGCAGTGGTCAAGCCAAGCCCGAGCAAGCCAATGTGTTGGCGCAGGCTCAGCAGCAAATCGCCCTGTCGGTGCGTTCTTATGCTCACCCGCACACTGCCCTTGCATTCCATACCTTTCCCTCATTTCCACTGGTCACTCTCACTCGCTCTTCCTCTTCTCCCCATCCCTCTTACACACTCCCTCACCTGTTCTTTCTCACTCAATCCTCTTCTCAATCCGCCTCACTGCCACCCCCTCCTTCACAATTTTGTGGCGCCAGCGCATGGCTCTGACAGGTGCCAACACAGTGGGGCTGGGCGCTACTGCACTGCCGGGTGCTCCTGTGGACATCCCCACCAAAGTCATCTGCCTCTCGCAGGTTCGCCTCCTCTCCCTCCCTCCCTCCTCAACACCCTCACTCACTCATTCACTCTTCGCCACGCCACGGACGCTGCCTTTGTTGAAGTGGCTGCACCCCTCTTGTTAGCCACAATGCCATGATCCATAATGTGTCATGTCATGATAAACAGCTGACACACGACCCTCTCTGCATGCCTGTCATTGTGCCATTGCTGCACTGGTTGGCAGGTGGTGTCACCGGACGAGCTCACCAACGACGAGGACTACGATGAGATCATGGAGGACATGCGAGAGGAGTGCGCCAAATACGGTCAGCCACTCGGACCATGTTGTTCCCCTGTTGTGCTGCTGGTGGACTCATGACTGAAAAGTATTCTCTCGCCAATGACAGTCTGTTTGGCACGGTCAGCCACGCGTCCTTGCCACGCAACGCATCACATGCCACATGTGACATGTGCTTCTGTGCGTGTGTCCATGCCTCATCACCTCTTTATTCAACTCTGCTACGAATCCGTTTTTGCGGCTTGGTGTCTTGTTGATCCGCTGTCTCCCTTATGAACAGGTTCACTTGTGAATGTGGTAATTCCTCGGCCACCAGCACCAGGCGCAACAGCTCCTGGGGTGGGCAAGGTGCGTCTCATGCACACTCCATCTGCATGTGTGTTGCCTCTTGCATGTACATGTGCAACTATGTGCCTGAAGCAAGCGCAGCAGTTCCTGGGGTGGGAAAGGTATGCTTCATGCACAGTCCATCCATGTGCGCTGCGCATGTAAGTAGGTGCTTGTTGCAACGCATATCTGACAAGTCACCATGCCTCTCTGCCCACATTGCTCACCCCCCGCTTGCCTCTCTCCTTTCATGCCACACTTGCCACAGGTGTTTGTGGAGTATGGTGACACAGCAGGCGCCCTCAAGGCCAAGGCAGCCCTGCATGGGCGCAAGTTCGGAGGCAACGCAGTGGTGGCCATCTTCTATCCCGAGGATGCATACGCGCGTGCCGACTACTCCAAGGTCTAACTGCTTCTGAGGCGCCTCAAGAGTGACAATGCAGTGGAGTCTCTATCTCTAATTTCTTGGCCTGAGGATGCCTATGCTCGTGACGACGACTCCAAGATCTGACGCTCATGCACGCCCTGCGCCAGCACGCACGCATGGTGATGCTCTGACAACCCACACTCTTCTGCCTGGGAGTATGCTTTCCTGCCTGTGAACCGTGGAGACCTGTGGCCTGAGCTAGCTGCCTCCCTGTAGTTTCTGGTGGTAGACTGCAATCAACACGCATTACATGAGCTTGTGCCACTAGATTGTGCCACTTGCTGGTTACACTTTTGCTTGTGATGTCACTGGTGATCCGTGAAGCTAATTTGAGCAGATAATTGACAAGAGATTGTTGCATGGCAAGGAAAGGGAAGAAGAATCTGTGCTGCTAGTTGTCAAATGTTGAACATTGATATGATAGGCTATAGTGAGTTGCACTCTAGGGGGTACAGCTTCTAGGGTTGCTCATTTGTACCCCATTCGTTTCTATTCCAATCATTCCGTTGTTCGCTAACTTTGAGATGGTATCATGAGTAGGTGTCGATCCTCTCGCCTAGCCTAGCCTAGCTCGCGCCCTAGCGCCCTCCGCGCCCTTGCGCCCTAGCACACTCCGCGCCCTCCGCGCCCTCCGCGCCCTTGCGCCCTAGCACCCTCCGCGCCCTCCGCGCCCTCCGCGCCCTCTGCGCCCTCCGCGCCTTAGCCACCGCGCCCTCCGCGCCATCTCCGCGCCTTAGCGCCCTCCTCCTCCGCGCGTTAGCGCCCTCCGCGCCCCTAGCCTGCGCCCCTAGCCCGTCGCCCAGGCCCACGCCCTAGCCCGTCGCCCAGGCGCCCGCCCTAGCCCGTCGCCCAGGCGCCCGCCCTAGCCCGTCGCCCAGGCGCCCGCCCTAGCCCGTCGCCCAGGCGCCCGCCCTAGCCCGTCGCCCAGGCGCCCGCCCTAGCCCGTCGCCCAGGCGCCCACCCCAGCCCGTCGCCCAGGCGCCCGCCCCAGCCCGTCGCCCAGGCGCCCGCCCTAGCCCGTCGCCCAGGCGCCCGCCCCAGCCCGTCGCCCAGGCGCCCGCCCTAGCCCGTCGCCCAGGCGCCCGCCCTAGCCCGTCGCCCAGGCCTGCGCCCTAGCCCGTCGCCCAGGCGCCCGTCCTAGCCCGTCGCCCAGGCCTGCGCCCTAGCCCGTCGCCCAGGCGCCCGTCCTAGCCCGTCGCCCAGGCGCCCGTCCTAGCCCGTCGCCCAGGCGCCCTCCCTGGCTCGTCACCCCAGCCCCGCAGGCAGCGCGCCACGCGGGTAGCGCGCCCCGCGGGTAGCGCGCCCCGCAGGAGGCGCGCCCCGCGGGTAGCGCGCCCCGCAGGCAGCACACCCTGCAGGCAGCGCGCCCCGGGGTGCTTTAGTGCCAGAAAATAAATAAATAAATTAAACCCTAAAAAAAAAAAAAAAAAAAAAAAAAAAAAGGGGTTCACAGTGGGGGCCTGCGACTGTCGCCCGCGAACCTGCTTGCCGGACGACCTGCACAGTTGCCGACATCCCGCAGCCGTCAGTACTTCAGCCCCTACTGTCGCACGTACTTTCCACTGCCAGTGGCTCTACTAGCGGCAGCCGACAGCCGCACTTACGGTCTCTAGCCCCGGCCGTTCCTACCTCCAGCCAGCCCTAGCTCGCCGCTTCTAGCTCCAGCCGTTCTCGCTCCAGCCGTTCTCGCTCCTCGCTCGTAGCTCAGTTTGCTCCGTGCTCCGGCCGTTCCTCGCCTAGTTTCACCTGGCGCTTCTAGCTCAGTTTGCTCCGTGCTCCAGCCGTTCCTCGCCTAGTTTCACCTGGCGCTCCTAGCTTAGTTCGCTCCGTGCTCCAGCAGTTACTCGCCTGGTTTCACCTGGCGCTCCTAGCTTAGTTCGCTCCGTGCTCCAGCAGTTACTCGCCTGGTTTCACCTTGCGCTCCTAGTTGTTCTCGTTTTTCACAGCAGCCTGTCGCTCCTGTCGCTCCTAGCCTGCCGCTCCTGCACCCCGCTAGCTTTTATCATGGAGTCCGCTAGGGTTCTCCAGCAGCAGGGACAGCAGCAGCGGCCTTTTCAGCAGTGGCTTCCGCAGCGGCAGGGGCGCCCTCAGCAGCTGTGGCGCCCTCAGCAGCCATGGGGGCCTGGTGGTTCAGGTCGCGTTGGCTGCAGCAGCGGCCCAGCCAGCTGGGGGGCTCGTCGCGGTGGCCGCGACGTCGGCCCCTGCCAGTACCGGATCCTGACCGGCCCTGGTGCTGGCACTACCTGCTGGCGTCCTGACCACTCTGCACAGCGCTGCTACAGCCGCCTCGACGACCTTTACCGTGAGCGTTTTGGGCCTGAGTTGGCTCCCCCGATCTGGCCCGGTCTGTTTCGTAGTGGTTTCCCTGTGTTTGATATGTCTATGGATGCTGTTTATTCTGTCACGTACGGATCTCTTGGCTTACGTGTACCTAGCTTAGGACCGTTGCCTGTTGCTAGTGTCGGTACTTGTGCATTTAGTGTAGGTGCTTGTGTAGTCACTAGCCCAGCCGTGACGACTGCTGTTGCGTCGCTCTTCTTCACGCTGGACTCCGGCGCGTCTCAGTGTTTCTTCCGCGACCACACCACTGTCACACCTCTTTCGGCTCCAGTCCCAGTTGCCCTGGCTGATCCTACTTCAGGACCAGCAGTTGCTCGTAGCTCGACCACCCTCCCGTGCCCGGCTGTCCCCTCTGGTTTCCTCACTGGTCTCTACATCCCCTCGTTCTCTCGGAACTTGGTGGGTGTTGGATACCTTCAGGACCGGGAGATCAAAGTCACTTTTCCTGCGCACGGGAGGACTGCGATCTGTACGGACTCTTCCACCGGGGCAGTTCTTGCCACGTTCACCAGAGAGCCCCACTCAGGTCTCTTCGTCCTGCACACTCCGCCCCCGCAGGTAGCTGCGTCTGGTCAGGTTGCTTCGTCCCCCCCGGTAGCAGAGTCCGGTCAGGTGGCTGTGTCCAGTCCGGTCGCTGTGTCCAGTCCAGTCGCTGCGTCTTGCTCCTGTCGCTCTCTCGCCCACCGCACCGTCCTGTGGCACCACCGTCTTGGCCACCCGTCGATCCCTCGCCTTCGTGGCATGCTCAGTCAGGAACTAGTCACAGGTCTCCCACGCACCTTCCCGCCGCTCCCTCCCTCGCTTGCCCCTCCTTGCTCTCCGTGCGTCGCCGGTCGCTTACGTGCCACTCCCCACTCCTCCTCCCTTCGTCCGGCCACCACTCCCTTCGAGACTCTCCACTTGGACGTCTGGGGCCCTGCCCCGACGCAGGGGTCTGGGAGGGAGCGCTACTTTCTGGTGGTCGTCGACGACTTCTCCAGGTACACCACAGTGTTTCCTCTTGCGAAGAAGTCCGAGGTGACTGCTACGCTGATCAGGTGGCTTCTAGCCATTGAGGGCACTCGTGGTCGTCGAGTCAGTTGTCTTCACTCCGACCGTGGGGGCGAGTTTCGCTCCGGCATTCTCGGCGGATTCTGCGGCGAACAGGGCATCACCCAGTCCTGGACGCTGCCAGAGTCCCCACAGCAGAATGGGGTTGCCGAGCGCCGCATAGGCTTGGTCATGGACATCGCCCGCACGTCCATGATTCATGCCCGTGCGCCCCGTTTTCTGTGGCCTCACGCGGTTCGCTACGCCGCACACCAGCTGAACCTCCAGCCGCGTGTCTCGCGGCCCGAGGCTTCACCGACCAGTCTCTGGACTGGATCCCCTGGTGTTGGGTCGGCCTTTCGAGTCTGGGGCTGCCTTGCACTTGTTCGCGACACCTCCGCGGACAAGCTCTCGGCACGCGCCGTCCCCTGTGTCTTCCTTGGTTTCCCAGTGGACTCTGCTGACTGGTCCTTTTACCACCCTCCCCTCCACCAGTTCCTAGATTCCCGTGACGTTCGGTTTGACGAGTCCGTGTCCTACTACACCCGGTACCCCTGTCGAGGTCTCCCGGTACCCCCTCCCCCTCTCTTCCTCGCACCCTCTCCTCCTCCTGCTCCCGCTCCTCCAGTACCCCCGCCCCCCCCTGGTCCTGCCCCGTCTGGTGTGTCCCACGCTACCCCTCTCCCCTCGGTCGCGCGTCAGGTAGCGTCTCCCTCCCCGCAGTCCTCCTCACAGTCCCCTCAGCAGCCTTCGGCACTTCCGCGACAGGTTACTGTGGACTCGGTTGGTGTTGGAGCTGGAGGTGCAGCCGCTGGCGGTGCTCGGTCTGGGGGTGCTCGGTCGCGGGGTACTGGAGCTGGAGGTGCTGGCGCAGGTGACGCTAGCTCTGGGGGTGCTGGAGCTGGAGGTGCTGGCGCAGGTGGCGCTAGCTCTGGGGGTGCTGGAGCTGGAGGTGCCGGCACTGGAGGTGCTGGTTCTGGGGGTGCTGGAGTTGGGGGTGCTGGCACTAGCGGTGCTAGTTCTGGGGGTGCTGGAGTTGGAGGTCCTAGCACTGGCGGTACTGGTTCTGGGGGTGCTGAGTCTGAGGAGACTGACGCTGGAGACCCTGGTTCTGCGGAGTCCACCCCGCCCCCCCACCGCCACGACACGCGTCTCCAGGCTGCCCGTCGGCGTGAGCGTGAGGAGCAGGAGCGGTTGGAGAGGGAGCGGCAGGAGCTGCGGGTGCTGGACCTTCTGGAGCAGCAGCGGCAGCAGCAGCAGCAGCAGCAGCAGCAGCAGCAGCAGCAGCAGCAGCCGCAGCCGCAGCCGCAGCCACAGCCGCAGCAGCAGCAGCAGCCGCAGCCGCAGCCGCAGCGGCCGCAGCCGCCACCGCAGCTTCCTCTAGAGCGGCGGTTGTTCCCACCTGTGAGTGGCTTGCGGGCCCTTGGCCTTTCCTCCTCTCCTCCTGTCCGCTCCCAGTCTCCTCCTGTGGTTGTTCCTCCGTTGCCTCCTCCTGACGACCGTCCGGCGGTCTGGTCTTCTCCTCCTCAGTCTCCTCCTCCCTCTGTCCGTCGCGACTTGATCACTCGTTGTCCTCCGCGTGCTCGTCACTCGTCCCCTGTTACTGACCTCCA